TTTACAGTTAGGGTGACAGAGCACTGGAACAGGCTGCCCAGGGAGGTTGTGGAGTCTCCTTCTCTGGAGATTTTCAAAACCCGCCTGGATGCAGTCCTTAGTAATGTGCTCTAGGCAATCCTGCTTTAGCAGGGGAGTTGGACTAGATGATCTCTAGAGGTCCCTTCCAACTCTGAAAATTCTATGATTCTGTGATATGGGATTGCATTAGGAAGAACAGTAGCAGCAGGTCGAAGGAGGAGATCCTTCCCCTCTACTCAGCACTGGTGAGGCTGCATCTGTGTCCAGTTCTGGGCTTCCCAGTACAAGAAAGATGGACATACTGTAATGAGTCCAGAGCAGGGCCACAAATATGATAATGGGATTGGAGCATCTTTCATAAGAGGAGAGGCTGAGGGAGCTGGGACTGTTTAGCCTAGAGAAGAGAAGGTTCAGGGTAGAATCTTATCTATGTGTCTAAATATGTTTTGGAAGGGATTAAAGAAGTGTCATGGTTTAACCCCAGTCGGCAACTAGGACCACGCAGCCACTTGATCACTCCCCCCCCGCACCCAGTAGGGTAGGGAGAAAAGGGAGAAAAGGAGGGGGAAAAAACCTCATGGGTTGAGATAAAGACAGTTTAATAGAACAGTAACAGAAGAGGAAAATAATAATAATAATAGTAGTAGTAGTAAAAGAATATACAAAATAAAGTGATACAACACAAGTTGCTCTCACCACCCGATGATCGGTTGCCCAGCCCATCCTGAGCAGTGATCATGGATTCCTGCCCTCTGGCCAACCCCCATTTATATACTGACTATGATGTCTATGGTATGAAATATTCCTTTGGCCAGCTCGTCTTGTCTATGCTCCCTCTCAGCTTCTATGGGAAGCTGAAAAAGTCCTTGACTAATGTAAACATCGTTTAGCAACAACTAAAACACCATGTGTTATCTACATTATTCTCATACTAAATCCAAAACTCAGCAGTTACTAGAAAAAAAATTAACTCTTCTCAGTAGTGCCCAGTGACAAGACGAGGCAGTGTGCACAAACTGAAATACAAGTATTTAAAAAAAGAAAAGGCTTTTTACTGTGAATATGGTCAAGCACTGGACTCTCAAGATGTGCCTTCCAACCTCAGCTATTCTGTGAAGAAGTTCAAGCTGGGAAAGTGAGGATGAGGAGTTGAGGGTTTCATTTAGACCGCTAGAGGAAGCCTTTTTGATCACAGGCTTTGGTGCTTATGGGGAACTTCAACCACCCTGAGATCTTTTTAAAGGGCAATATGGCTGGGCACAAGCAGTTGATAAGATTTTTGGACTGTGTTGAAGACAAATTCTTGACACAGGTGTTGGATGGGCTGACTAGGAGAGATGCTCTGCTAGACATGTTACTTGCAGACAAGGAAGAACTGCTCCAAGATGTGAAGGCTGAGGGCTGTACTGGCCACAGTGACCATGAGATGGTTGAGTTTTAGATCCTGAGAGAAGTGAGCAAGACAAATAGAATCACAGCCCTGCGCTTCAGGAGAGCAGTTTTCAGCTTGTTCAGGTATCTCCTTGGCAGGATCTCATGGGAGACTGCTCTGGAGGGCAATGGGGCCAAGGAGAGGTAGATAATCTTCCAGGACAGCCTCCTCAGAGCAGAAGTTGCTTCTTATGATGTGGAAGAAGTCAAGCAAGCACTGCAGAAGGCCAGCGGGGATGAACATGACTGAGCTCAAATGCAAAAAGGAAGCACACAGAAGGTGGCGATAGACATGGGCTACCTGAAAGGAATATAGAGACATTGCCCAGGAGTGTAGGGATGAAGTTCGGAAAGCCTAAGATCAGCTCAGGTTGGAACTAGAGAAGGATATGAAGGGCAACAAGAAGGTCTTCTATAGGTACACCATCAGTAAAAGGAAGGCTAAGGAAAAAAGAGGCCCACTGCTCAATGGGGCAAGGGACCTAGTGCCAAAGGACACAGGTGTTGAATGTGACTGATGTACTCACCCTAATCCCTGGGAAGGTGATGGAGCAGCAAGCCCTGGAACCCATTTCCAGGCACATTAAGGACGAGAAGTTGATTGGGAGTAGTCAGCGCAGATTCACCAAGGGGAGGGCATGCTTGACCAACTTGATAACTTTCTATGATGAAATGACTGGCTTAGTAGATGAGGGGAGAACAGTTGATATCGTCTACACAGACGGAAGGAAGGCTTTTTACACTGTTTCCCATAATATCCTCATAGGGAAGCTAATGAAGTATGGGCTGGATGAACAGACAGTGGACGGAAAACTGGCTGAAGGGAGGGGCCCAGAGGGTGGTGATGAGGGTAGCATAATGTTTAGTTGGAAGCCAGTAAATCGCAGTGTACCTCAGGGATAAGTACTGGGTCCAAATCTTTTTAACACCTTCATTAACGACTTGTAAAATGGGGCAGAGTTTTCAGATGACCCAAAACTGGGATGAGTGTCTGATACACTAGAGAGTGCCTGAGGGACGGAATGCCATCCAGAGGGACCTGGACAGGCAGAAGAAATGGGCAGAGAGGAATCTCATGCAGTTCAACAAGAGGAGAGGAGGAACAACCCCATGCACCACTACACACTGGGGGTCATCCAGTTGGAAAGCAGCTCTGTAGAGAAGGACCTGAGGGTACTGGTGGATCAGAAGCTGACCATGAGCCCCCAACACTCCCTCATAGCAAAAAAGGCCAACAGCATCCTGGGCTGCATTAGGAAGAGCATTGCCAGCAGGTTGAAGGAAGAGATCCTTCCCCTCTACTCAGCACTGATGAGGCCGCACCTTGAGTACTATATCCAGTTCTGGGCTCCCCAGTACAAGAAAGATATGGACTTACTGGAGCAATTCCAGCAAAGGGCCACAAAGATCATAGAACAGAATCGTAGAATCATAGAATATTTGGGTGGGAAAGGACCTTTAAATGTCATCTAGTCCAAACCCCCTGCAATGAGCAGGGACCTCTTCAACTGGATCAGGTTGCTCAGAGCCTGTCCAACCTGACCTTGAATGTTTCCAGGGATGAGGCATCTACCCCCTCTCTCGGCAACCTGTTCCAGCTATCGCAACAGGCTCTGCTAAAAAGTCTGTCCCCATCTTTCTCATAAGCCCCCTTTAAGTATTAAAAAGCTGCAATAAGGTGTCCTCAGAGCCTTCTCTTCTCCAAGCTGAATAACCCCATTTCTCTCAGCCTTTCTTCATAGGAGAGGTGTTGCATCTCTCTGATCATTTTCGTGGCCCTCCTCTGGACCCACTCCAACAGGTCCATGTCTTGTACTGAGGACTCCAGAGCTGGACGCAGTACTCCAGGCGGGGTCTCACCAGAGCGGAGCAGAGGGGCAGAATCACCTGCTGACCACGCCTCTTTGCATGCAGGCCAGGGTATGGTTGGCCTTCTGGGCTGCGAGTGCATATTGCCAGCTCATGTCCTGCTTTTCATCCACCAATACCCCCAAGTCCTTCTCCTTGGGCCTGCTCTCAATCCCTTCATCCCTCAACCTGTATTGATACTGGGGGTTGCCCCAACCCAGGTGCAGGACTATGCACTTGGCCTTGTTGAACCTCATGAGATTCACACGGGCCCACTTCTCAAGCTTGTCCAGGTCCCTCTGGATGTCCCTCAGGCATGTCAACTGCACCACTCAGTTTGGTGTCATCTGGAAACTTGCTGAGGGTGCACTTGATCCCGCTGTCTATCATTAATGAAGATATTAAACGAACCCCCAAGGGACACCACTTGTCACTGATCTCCATGTAGGCATTGAGCCGTTGAACACTATTCTCTGGATGCGACCATCCAACCAATTCCTCATCCACTGAAGAGTCCGCCATCAGATCCATATCTGTCCAATTTAGAGAGAAAGATGTTGTGGGAGGCTGTGTCAAAGTCCAGATAGATGACATCAGTAGCTCTTCCTTTGTCAACTGATGTAGTCACTCCATTATAGAAGGCCACTAGGTTGTTCAGACAAGATTACTGAGGGACTGGAGCACCTTTCATATGAGGAGAGGCTGAGAGAGCTTGGACTCTTCAGCCTGGAGAAGGCTCAGGGGGAATTTTATCAATGTATTGAAATACTTGATGAGAGGAAGCAATGAAGAAGAGGGAGCCAGACTCTTCTCAGTAGTGTTCAGTAACAGGACAAGAGGTAATGGGCATAAATTAAAACACATGAAATTCCATCTGAACCCCCCCCCCCAATACTTTTTTACTGTGAGGGTGGTCAAACACTGGACCAGGTTGCCCAAAGAGGTTATGGAGTCTACATCCTTGGAGATATTTAAAACGTGACTGGACACAGTCCTGGGCAACTTGCTCTAGGTAACCCTGCTTGAGCAAGGTAGTTGGACTATCTGATTTCAAGACGTCCCTTCCAACCTAAATGATTAGGTGATTCTGTGAAATAAAATTTATTTTTAAGAGTAGAAAACCTGATAGCATGTTATTTTAATATACTTAAGGTGTGTAAAATCAACAACCTATTAAAATGAAAACAGGATAAAATGCAGAAACCGCTATTAAAAAAATAAACTATTAAATTGAAAAGGAGATAGCAGGTTGTATGAGGAAACCTAGAATGCTGGAGAAAAACTCAGATAGAAAAAATGGAATAATATATTAAATATTTTTTCTTTGTTAGTACCTAGGAAGACTCAAAATATACTATTATCGAGTTTTGGGTAGGAGTACTGTTACAGAACAGGTACTTGTCTGCAGCTTTAAAAAAGAATTATGTTTTTCTTTTCAGATTACACATTGCTCAGTATGCATGTAGTGGATATTACTATAGTGGATAGGAGATAAATAACGAACTGTGAACTTCTCTGTAGAAATGAGTAGGTTCAGTCATTTAGTCCTTATAATCAGACTACCCACAGAAGAGTGTGTGTATGCATGTGTAGACATGAACTTGTGTTCAGACACAAACTTGCTCTGTGATCTGCCTTCTAGCTGTGCATCTGGAACGCTGAGTTTATGAGAGTGCTTGTGGCACTGTGCTACTGCTGTAGTGTGGTATAGGGAAAGGGCAAGGGAAGTACAAGGAAAGAATTATCTTAATGTGCAGAGAAGCAACACTAGAACATGTTATCTTTCTGCCTGCAGACTAGTGCTGAAATCCTCATCACAGGATAACATGTAAATATGCACCAGACACCTCTTCCTCATGTGATCTGATGTTTTATACATTAGGAGAGGGAAAAATGGAGATGTGATGTACCAATTAGATATGTTTCTATTCCTGTGCTTTGAGAGATTTTAATTGGGGGTGTGTGCATTTTTTTTTTTTAAGTATGTAGGAAATAGAGGGAGTGTGAGGAAGAGCTCTTATTTCTGATTCATTTGAACTTAAATGCAACTTTTGGACCACTTAAAATGTTGTGGTCTGTCATTTTGCTGCCTTGGCCAAATTTAGAGTTTTCAAATACATATTTACTTGTAAATAAAAAAGCTCATAAACATGTAAATGTTAGCTCTGGGATCTTAATTTTGAATGTGAAAAATGGAACCAAGTTTTTTCTGGCTTGTGTATTATTGTCGGTCTCTTTTGGATTTGTAAATGAATTAAGAATTCCATGAAGAAAGAGTGAAATATAATCCAGTTTGTAGTCCAATAGCTATGTAAGTGCTATCATTTTATTGAAATTGTGACAACTTTAAGTTTTCACAATAAAACAAGCAAGTAGAATTATAAATATTAATATTGTGAATATGTCTTGTAAGAAAATTCCATTTGCGTATGGTAACTATTCTGACAACACCATGTGTTAAAGGCATAAAATAGTACCCACCAAATAGACCTGCAGACAGAATGCTAGGAAGCATGAGTGAAATAAAATTTCCAAGTTGCTATGCACACATATACTTTCTGTCCGAATTAAAAGAGGGGAAGAGGGGCAGAGGAGTGTTTTCATTATTTGGTAATTAATTCTGTAAATGGAAAATTAAACCTTATTCTTCTCCATCTATACAAATACCTGTTAGTTCAGAAACAGGTAGTAAAAGCCAACAAAGTACCTGAGGTAAATTGCCAAATTTTACTATATACTGTTGATAACTATTGACAGATTTTTCCCAGTATCTTTTCCAATTCTATATTTATTTAGGCTTCAGGCTCGAATTGCTCACAGAATCCAAGAACTAGAGAACCTGCCTGGCTCTTTGCCTCCTGATCTGCGAACCAAAGCTACAGTGGAGTTGAAGGCACTTCGGTTACTGAATTTCCAGCGCCAGGTAATGCCTTTTGCTGCAGGGAAGTTCTTGTAATGCTCACAGTCAAATGAGATGCTGTGGCATGGGATCAAATGTGATGTTGTGGCATGTGTCAGATCTTACAGCAGCACTGACTTTAAACAGGAGATTTTGAACAAGAGCACACTTGACTGCTAATAAGAATTACACAGAAATGTTTAACTTAGTATTTATTTTGGTTTATTACTGAATATGTACATGTGTTCTCTCTTCTGCCTGCTCCATCCTCCAGTATAAATTGTAATCCTAGAATTGTGGTAGTTTTTCATTAAAATAATGGCAGTGGCACAGAGATGCAAGAGAAGGACAGGCTGCAAGCCCATTTTCAACACAAATCATAATAAATGTAATTTTCATGACTATACTTGTCATGGATCTTTTATTGCTGAGAGTTGAATGCTCTTATTGTTGTGTGTAGCATTTCTCTGTAATCTGTTTTCAGCATTCCCACTGTGACACACAGACTGTGAAAATTAAGCACGTCTAAGACATAAGTTAGATCTTGAATATATGTAACAGCATCTGAATTTCAGAAAGGGAGTCACAATGCCAGACCATTCTGGGCTCCTTGTCATTGGCTTGCCTGGTTGATCTGGAAGCAGCAGAGATGTGATTTGTCAGGCCAAGCAAAAATAGTTCCTGGAAGAAGTCTTTGGCAGTATTTGTACCATGTTATCTACATCTTCCTTCCCACTGCCCTTGCAATTCCTTTATAGTGAGGCTTTGTCAGAGGTTAGTTGAAAAATGGCAGGCTTTCCCTGCTTGCATTGCTGGGACTGTGGCTGTATTACTCCAAGCCTTCCCAATTTCCTACTCCCTATTCTGTTTCACATGCAACTGACAATGAGAACAGTTGTCACCTCTGTTCAGCACCAATTCTACAAAAGCATGTAATATCTGTTCTTTCATACTTTACTTGAGTGGTGTAACATCTTGACTGGTGCCTTTCATACAAGCAGGACAGTCATTTTCAGTAGGAAGGAAGGAAAAAAGTGATGTGCCTATGTTGTTTGACTTTTTCTGTCATCCTAAGGAGACTGAAGATTTATTTAGGGAGACAGACCTTTCTGCTACAACTGAGGAGTTGCAGAACTGTAATGGAAAGGGGAGAGGAAGCCGGGAGATCTCCTGCATCACTAAAATTTTACTTTACTGTATTACTAATTAAAATTGTTCTTGTGTATGGGAAAAATGGTTTTCTTTTTAACTGTTTCTTTTTTCTCACCGGTAGCTAAGACAAGAGGTAGTAGCCTGCATGCGTCGTGACACAACACTGGAGACAGCACTGAACTCCAAAGCCTACAAACGAAGCAAACGCCAGACTTTGAGGGAGGCCCGTATGACAGAAAAGCTTGAGAAACAGCAGAAGATAGAACAAGAAAGGAAACGTAGACAGAAACACCAGGTATTTTAACTCCTATTAAGTGTTCTCCCAGACATTGAAATGCCATTCAGTTGATTGTTGCATCTTGATCATCATCATTTTATATTTTATTCACTTCTGGAGACTGAGGCACAAGAAAACAAGTTTATGCAATAAGCAAGAATAAAACTCTAAAATTACAACTCTTGTATACCTGATGTCAAATCTTGAGCTATCAAATCTCTGAATTAAATTGTTTTCTTTCTCTAGGAATATCTGAACAGCATATTACAGCATGCTAAAGATTTTAAAGAATACCACCGGTCATTGTCTGGGAAAATACAAAAAATTTCTAAAGCTGTGGCAACTTGGCATGCCAACACTGAACGTGAGCAGAAAAAGGAAACTGAGAGAATTGAGAAAGAAAGAATGAGAAGACTAATGGTAAGGAATGGGGGAAGGGGTATGACAAGTTTGGCTAAAATTACATACAGTCTAATGTACACCCTCAGGTGCTTATGTATGCTCTTCTCAGAATAAAATATCAATTTCAAGAACTTTAAAAAGAATAAACCTAAAACTACTGCAGAAGAGTCCCTCATATTTCTAATGATGGTAGTGAATTTGATAGTGTTCACTTTGAGCTATAGCTACATTTTTCTTAAGATTTCTGATAATATATAATTGACTTTTCTACAAGCTTAAAAACTTGTCATTCATGCATATCACAGCCACTTTTGTATAACATCACTTAATCTCTGTCATATGTCAACATTTTTACAACATTGCAGAGATATTCAAGTTATTTACTATAGAAGTACTGTGTATTCTTTCTAGCTATTATAGTTTTGAAGACTACTTATGATTATCTTTTTATGGTATTACTCATAAACTTTGTATTTGCACACATACATATCCAATAGCAGTAAATTCTTGCAGTTTTTTCCTGAGAACTAATGGCAGTCAGCTATAGTTCCTTTTGCTGCTATTTCTTTGTAACTGAACAATACCAGTTACACCTTTATTAAAAACAGGATATAATGGTTTTGTGTATAACCATGCCTCTTCAGAATGCTGTAGAATTGATCAGTGGACTACTTACATTTCAGAAGTTAAAATATCTCTGTCTTAGGACTTAAAATGTAGACAGAGTAGTTTTTATGTACAAGTGTGTTAGCAACCAGAGTTAGATTAATTTTCCTCTGAAAAACTTCTACCAGCCACTGGGTAACCCTAATACTTTTTTTTGAATTGTTGAAACCTACAAGACAGTAGGTGACTGGGAAAATATAGGTTCTCAGTCAGCAACTGAATGACAAAATGTAACAATAATATACAAGTTAATGGGAATTGGCACGTTTTCATTGAAACACAGTGCTAATAAAATGTGAAATAAAACTTTAATCCTTGTCCAAAATCAGTGCCCACCAAGTGTAAGGGCTGAACAGTTTGTTTTTAAATCACCAATGAGGATTAAAACTGCATATGAAATATAACTGAAGGGCTTGCAGAAGAGAACAGATGTTTAGGCCCTATGGATTTTCTCAAGGTTACATATCAGTCTGCATTATACTATCAATAATTAGAGACAATTGCCAACAGTTTATCTGTTCAGGCTGTTACAATGTTAATTATCAGATAAAAATATGATGACTTTACAAGTCTCATTGTTTTAAAAATATTTTTTAGATTCTGAGGTGAATGAGCTTACGTCACTGAAATATATATACGGTAAAGAAGTCCACAGCTAATAAATACGAGATAGATTTGTGTGTCCAGAAATGTCACAAAACACTAATATCCAATGCTTCCTCCTAAAACCTCCTACCCAAAGCCTGTGACTTGGATTTGCTATGAGAGACACAGCACTCAGTAAGCATCTTCAACTGGATTTTGCAGTCAGAAGCACTTACCTTGTTCCCTGCTAAAAGCTCAATTAAATTTTCATGGAAAAGCAAACCAAAATGACGCTAATTGTATATGTTATGTTAGTGGAGTTATTCCCCCTGTTTAAATTTAGTCCAACTGGGATATATAGTTTTTACAGATCTTTAATTCAGTGTAGCCAGAAGTTTATCTTCTATATACTAGAAATTTCTAAAGACTTCATCTCCTCTCAGACACTTGGGCTAGCCTAGGAAAATAGGCTATGTTTAAAAGTATGATAGCATACTTTTTAACCAAAGCATCTTAGATAATAGTGTTAAATTCCTTACACAGATTGTCCTTAGATAACTAGGATTAGCAATGGTGATTGTGTCCCAGTTCCTGAACATTTATATCGCATGCAAGAACATTCATGATACGCTTCAAAAGATCTCACCAAGAAAAAGATAGTATGTATAGAGGAAATAACTTGGCTAGGTTATAATGATACTAAATTATAATAGTCATAGAAGCTTACTTTTTGAGCATTGTAGTTCTGTTGTCTTGAATGCTGAAAATGGATTTTACCTTGCAAGTTCTTGTCAGGTTACTGCAGTTCTGGTATGTCTTCAGAAAGGCAGGAATTTGTTCATATCTCACAACTGTGCTATTTTTATTGAAAGTAATGGTCTTCAAAATATTTCTTATTTTTGTTTGGTTTCATAAGGCCCTGTATACTTCTTCCATTATTAATTTGTTCACTGAGTTATATTGGCCAAGATCTGCAGTGGGCTCTGTGATGCTTGTCTTATATTTCCTGATATGCATAAAGATGTTATTATATCTTTCTGGCATACGCAAGCAATATTTCCTGCTATGCCCTAACAAGATACTTATGCAGTGCTGTAGGGATATGGGAGTTGCTGAACTGACTCAGACATGCGGCTTATCTGGTCTGATATCCTGTTTCTAACAGTGGCCAGCATCAGATTCTCCACAGGAAGATGAAACAACACCAGAGTAAATAGATGATGCACAATCTGCCCTAAGGAAAATTTATTGGTAACACCTGACAGATAAAGATTATTACTTATACTTGGTAAAGGACCAAATAAGAGTTAGGCATCTGGGTCCCATTATCTTTCTATGACAATGAAGGATAACTGTACTTTGTGCTTTTGAAAAATCTTCTATGTAGGAGTCTCATCAATTCCCTCAGTTTCCCAGCATTGTAACTTGTCTGATGTGCTGTTGTATAATTTTTTTTGTTCTCAGTCCTGTTTTAGAATGCCCCCCCCCGCAAAAGTAGGAAATATTTAAGGTAACGCATCGTCATTGAGACTGCATTTGTAGGGTCCTCTTAGGAACACTTCTTTCATGGATGATGTTTGTCCTGTATTGCTAGGCTGAAGATGAAGAAGGCTACCGTAAGTTGATTGACCAAAAGAAAGATAGACGCCTAGCCTACTTATTGCAGCAGACAGATGAGTATGTGGCTAATCTGACCAACCTGGTATGGGAGCACAAACAGGCACAAGCAGCCAAAGAGAAGAAAAAGAGGAGGAGAAGAAAGAAGGCAAGTAGCTAAAACTAACATTTTTATACCACTTCCCCCTCAAACCCCATTTTAACACTGGTAAATGCAGTGATCTCCAGTTGTCTTACAGAGATTGGAGTGTCTGAAATCTGCATTGCCAAATTCTTAGCATTGATTGAATTCATATTTCTCTGAAGTCTGTTGTAGGAAATGCTGTGTTTTTGCCATGCTAACATTATTCCAAAGATGGAAAGAAGAAGATGGGATTAGAAACCTGTGGGTTGTAAACATTTGAATTACTGATAAACTTCCTATAGGCAAAAATGGGCCAACCATGTAAATGAGGAATAAGCTATGAGAGTCCAAACTAGAGTATATCAGAAAAGGCTAGTATATTCAACTGTATCATATAGAACTGCTTACTTAGACCTCTAGATTCTAAACTCAGTTCCATATTTGGTTTGTAGGGCCATTAGAAATAGCCAGACAAAGAAAACTTTGATTGGTGTATTTTGTATAATGTGTATTCTACAAGTAGTATTATTCATTGTCTACATTGTAACCATTTAATTAAGCCTTTTGAAAATCCACTTTGTATGTTATTAAATATTTCTATCCCTGTCAGAGAGACTAGTTGGTAACTGAGCAAATGTATGAAAAAAAAAAAGGTGATAATTAAGTAATAATTTGTCATTTCTGTGACCCCTAAATTCCTTTCCTGTCCCAGAGGATGGGTAAGATGGCCTTAATAGCCCATTTCCATCTCTACTGTTCATGGTGTGAATGATCTTGCTATCAGCTATAAGAAAAAGAGTCTCAGAGGTTTCATGTGCTTGCATATAAACAGACTGCTGTAGCTAATATTCCTGACAATTTAACTTTGCATAGTTTGGACACCAAAAATATATACCATTTAAAATGTTAATATATGCATTGCTTAAAAACAATGCTCTACATGTGGTAATAAATGCCAATATATAATAAATGGACAATTTTGAAATGACTGACATAAAAAATATTCCTTATAGTTAGAGGGGACTCTATCTATCTCCAAGACAGCTGTACATTTTGTTAAGAATATATTTTTAACAGACAAAATAGCCTGTTCCTCCAAAGTAAAGATGTAGCTTCTCCTGGACCAGAAATCCAGTAGGCTAGCCATGTACTAGGCACAGATATACCAAGGCAACTAAGAGGGTTGTAGATTTCCCATTAATACCACCAAGTGCTGTGAGCGCAGTAGTACCTGTATATATATCCCCCCTACATCCATCAATATCTTTATTTGCATTCATCCCAGGCTATGAAAATACAAAGTGAAAAACTGTTCATGCTCTAGAATTATTTCATCATATAAAATGACTTTTATGCTCATAGCTTGACTATAATATTTTTTGTCTCTGTTGTAGAAGGGAGAAGAAAATGCAGAAGGAATGGGATCTGGTCTTGGTCCTGATGGAGAGGTATGAATTTTACAAGCCTTTTCAGTTTGTGGGGTTGGTTGGTTTGTTTAATTTTCCCAGAGCTTGTTATAACTTATAGTGGTGGTAAAAGATTAAAGTGTATGCCAGATATTTGACCTCTTTGTTCAGTTAGTGCTCTGTAGGGCTTTTGCATGTGACTAAGCCACGTATACACTCAGAGAGAGTGCAAAAATGAAACTGATTTGGGGAAATTAGTTCAAAAGGTGCCTACACATTTGGAATCTCTAAGGTCGAGGGTAGCAAGTGTGCATTCTAAGGTCCCCATGAGACAAACACAGAGATCACAATATTCATCAGTTCAGTCTTATTTGAAAGAAACAAAAACACAGTAAAATGAATGTACAAGCATACATATTTTAGAATAGAATAGAATAGAATAGAATAGAATAGAATAGAATA